CCCTGGACGATGCAGTGGGCAGATTGCCCACTCCAAGAAATGAATTCTTCATTCTTTCTGGCGCGGCGATGACGTTTTGAGGAACCTCGTGGAAGACTTCAGCATGCTGACGTCATTATGACGTGGCAGGGGGTGAGGGGGGCGGCAGCCCCCCCGCTAGTAGGCTGGCCGAAAAGGTTGGCCGCCCAATTGCCACTGCAAATGTGCAAAATTATGGTTGCGCACTCGGGGAATCGAACCCCGGGCATATGCGTAGCCTCGTGAGCCGTGACGTCATGTTGACGTAAGCGCAGGGAGGCATATATGTTACCACTACACCAAGTGCGCACGGATGGAATGCCCGCTACAATCAAAATGTATATACAAAAGCATGTGTCTACTGCAACTAAAGCATATTATTCGGTTATTCTGGTCATATACACCTAGAAAACTTGCCCGGTACAAACCCCCGCCCCTTCAAGTTCGTTCATCCTTGCAAACGGGGGGGCTGCCGCCCCCCCGCACCCCCCCGCTTTGGGCTCTTCAAATTGCGGTTCGTTGAGCGCAACTTATATTACTTCTGGTTTTACCTGGCTGACATGCATATACCTATACGTCTCTCCCGCCATTTTGGCAATCTGTAGGCTCAACCGCCCAGGACCATGAACCGGGCCGGTCTGAAGCTTTTGTGGGCTTCAAAGCCCTGCCTGCAGTGCCCGGCTATCCTTCACCCGACTGCCCGAAACAGTTGAAAGAGGCCGCTGAGGGGGCAACTTCCGTTCGCTCCCACTGGCGCAAGTACGACGAAGTAGACTCCTTTTGTTAGTGTCTCAGGCTCCAAAAAAGTGTGAAAACATCTAACATGGGGGATCATAGGTTCACAGGGTATCCGCGTGGACCGTACTGTCAGCTCAGGTCCTTTGAACCAAAATGCGTCAGAATTTCAGGTTTTACCGTGCACTTTGCGGTACCCATTCTAGTACGGATGGAACCGGGTCAGGATAAATGGCCTACAACACTAAAACTAAAAGAACTCTGCCCGGTTGTCACTGTCAGTGAGTAACCCTAATGTCACTGGGAAATGGCGTAGCCCTAACAAAGCGCTCGTCGATTGGCGTGAACCGTCATAGGTTTGCAACGTAACCCTAATGTCAAAGTAAGTGCCCCGGGTCAATGTCAATGTCAACGTCGATGTCAATGTCGATGTCAGTCTCATTGTCAACGTTGTAACCACTCCCGTATTACCACTGACAGACTGCAATAAATGTCACACTTCAGGTGCTTCCAGGTGGGTTGAGAGTGATTCACACCAATCAGAGTGGCGGAGTCTACTTTGATAGTTTTGCCCCACTGGCAAGCTTCGTGTACTGAACAGTGAATTCAGTGACTGGGTAGGTATGAACTTCGTGAATCTGATGATCTTGAAGTTGAAGGGCAACTGTGGTGGCGTTGATGCAGATTCTAGTGGCTCAGGATTGAGTTCAATTTCAACCTTCGGACCCAGCCCGCTTGAATGCGGAAGGGTGTGTTGAGTTGCTCTCGCCCACGAGGTGTGCACTTCATCGCGTCGACAGCTGTTGCAGAAACGTTTCTGTGGGCAGGTTGACCTCCTGTGAGACGTGTTCCTGTGGAATGCGTGAATTAAGAATCACTGCGACATAATTTTTCTGCTCGAATTCTTCCCCCAGAGAGCCATGTTGCCCCTTTCTTGTACGAGTTGACCAAGTCCAAAATGCATCACACTTAGTGCCACCCGTTGAAACCTTGAAAAACCATGGCAGGCAGAATCGGTCCTCAAGGGAAGCGCTCGCAGGTGCATCCCGTCATCCACATCAGGGACTTAGCTGGACCTCAGAGCTCAGCCAAAGAAAACCAGGCAGTTGTGAAGAGTGCACCACTCGGAAAAGCTACAGAAGGGCCGCAGATTGGGGGCGTCCGGCAGCCGCTTCAGGGCACGCAATTGGCGAACAAGACAGTTGCGCCGTTGTTGGAAGTATGCGTTGGCAACTTTGCTGATGACAAGACTACGGGGGTCTCAGGAGATTCCAAGGCTCAGCATAGGAAGTCCTCAAACGGGGCGGTGGCTGAGGTGTCTGGAAAACCCCTGGTAGATGATCTGGACAAGTTGAAGGAACGTTCTGGTCCTAGCAAAGAATCTGCAACAAGGGGGGGGCAGAAGCAAACGACTGTGTTGCAGAAAGGACTTCCACCCTTGCTGCCCACGCCCTTGTTGGAGGCTGTTGACAACTCAAGGAGCTGCCTTGCAGCTAGCCATCAGGAAGCCACACCCCAATTCTCAGATGCAAAAGACCCCTCAGAGACAGCTGGCACACTATCAACGGCAGGGAGTGCGAATGCTAACGGGGAGAGAAAGGGGAGTGCCAAGAAAGCGGCAAGGCGGAAGGAGAGAGAGCCCTGGAGGGACCCAGGGCCCAAGGATCTTGTGGAGCCGCAACGGGGCAGAAGCAAGTCAGAGGAGCTGAAAGCGCCAGCTGTTGCAGCTGAGCCAAAAGTGCAAAATGAAGAAAGGATCAAGGAAGGGCTGAACGAGGGGGTGTTTCTGGTGGCGGTGGTGGATGCTCGGAAGGAGGACACGGATGGGGGAGCTGGAGTGCCTAAGGTGACAACCGGAAAGAAAGCTGGCTCCAAGGGGCAGCGGCGAAGAGTTAGTGAAGGTCAGGGGGCTTCGACAGCGGGCCAGCATTATGTTGGTGGAAATGAGGAGCTAAAAAGCATCGCGAACCGGAAGGAGGGAGTGGTTGGAGTTCTTTTTGATCCGAAAGCAGAGCAAGCCGGTTTGGAAACAAGCGGGTCAGAGACGAAAGAAAGTCAGAGGAACGGGCAAGATGCAGTGGCGCCAGCTGTCAGGGCTGGTCAGAGTGGAGGAGAGTCAGCGGTGGTAGCGGAGGCGACTGCTGGAGGCGAACACGAGGCGGGGGGGCAGCAGGAGCAGCCTTCGGATGAGGAAGGGTGGATGAAGGTCAAGAAGGTGCGCAGATTGTCGAAGTCTCTTTCTGTGCAGCTACTGTTTCGCCTTTAGGCGAGCTGGACCTTGTTAGGAGGAGTTTTTGTTCTTGCCAAGTGGGTAGTTTCCCCCTGAGAGCAGCCAATCAATGGATATGGAATGTGTTGAAGTCTTTCATTTAGACCTCGCTTTGCAAGCGTACCTCCTCTTTGTCCTTCGCATCTGAACCTTTTGTGTGTTTTTGCCCATAACAACTCTCTCTTCGACTTGCGACTTGCTCCCCATCATGAGTTTCGGTGTATTGTATGCATGAATTCAACAATGTGGATGTAAATAGTAGTGACCAAAAGCATCCTTCATCCTTTTTCCTTCAGCTTCTGAATGAGATAGGTTTTGTCGGCTTTTCTTGAGAACAATAGATTGTGGAGTTCCTGAATTGTTTGGAAGGGTTCCAAAGCAGAGGTTGCAAAGGTCTTGAAAAGTCCTGGCAGTTGGTTCATATGCTTCTACATAGTTGCTGTCTTAACAACCGTCATCAAAATCGTAACAAAGAAAAGCCTAAACACACGCTCATGGGCTTTTCAACCATTCCCCCTCTTTGTCTGCAGAAGAATAAGAGTTCGACCCGGAGACGGTCGGAACTGCCCCCCTGGAACAGCGTCTACCGCACGGAGGTCGAAAGCTACCAGACGCCGCTTGGGCGGCGATGGATCCAGAACCCCACCTTCATAGACCGTCGACAATCCCTGGAGACGACCAGCTTAGAAGCTAAACCCCCTGCACTTTCAAGCAAGCCAGTAGGAAAGAAGCCGAGCTCTACAGCCCCACCTGGGGTTGAAACCAAGCCCTCCGATCCTTCCGAATTATCAGTGGGTGTTCCTTTGGCGTCAACTCTGGGGAAGACGGGAAGCGGTTTTCTGGCCCAGAAAGGAGCGGGGGCGCCCGCGAATGGGGCACTCTTGCCCACGCCAACACTTTCGAAGCCAGTGTTGCGGGCCTCAGATGTGCAAAAGAACAGACGGGAACCGCAGTCAGGGTCTGACGGAAGGACAGCGACGGGCGATGCTGCAAAAGACGTGGCGACGGAAAGGGGAACGGTGCAGACAGCTGCAAGCCAAAGGGCGACAAGCGGGGTTGCGGAGGGGGAGAGGACAAAGACCGCAAAGTGCATTGCAAGCAAAGCGGGGCAATTGAGCGGTAGGGGCAAGGGTAAGAAAGGAGCGGCTCAGATAGCACAAAGGGAAGCAGAAGTAGGAGCGGGTGTGGCCAACGGGACAGTCAAGGCATCAGCTGTGCAGAGTGATACGGAGAAGCAAGCGGGCCCCTCAAACAAGACCGGGCCGTTGCCAGCTGTCAAGGCTGCCGCCGCACCAGTAAAGGTGCCAGTTGTCACACCTGTGGCTGCGCCAGCTGTCGCACCTGCAGCCAAATCGAAGTTGTCGGTGTCAGCACCACCATTCATCCCCAAGAGCCTGCAGGGTGGGAAGGGCCCGGCTGGGGTTGACACCGCCAAGGGGGCCGCGAAGCAGGCCAGGCAGCCTATTGCAGCTAGTGTTGCTAACCCAAATCATAAGGCAGTGACGACGTTTGAGGACGGGGGAGTGCCTGCAATGGGAGCGGGGGCAGGGGTGTCACGCACTGCTGCTGGCCCCCCTTCTCCGGAAAGAGTGGTGGTGACCCCTGTGAAGAAGCGGAAGCCTGGCGAGAAGACCCCTGGCAAACTGACAGCTGGCACGGCCGTTGTTGGTGTGACTATTCCCAGTCCTGATCTTGCTCCAAGGGGGATCCCCCAGCAACCGTCCGCTGTAGCTCCCTCGGCGTCCCCCTCCAGAATAACCAACACTAGCCCGCCGGCGTCAGAGAAGGGAATGCAGAGTGCGAGCCTGCCTGAGGGTTCTGCAGGGCCCAAGACGGACAACAAACTGGTGGCCGATCTAGTTGTGGGTACGATCCGGGTGCCGCACGTGGAGTCGGTTCCCAAGGGGGTAGCTCCGAGCGGAGTCGCCTTGGTGGTCAAGGCGGGCCCCAGGGCAGCAATTCCCGTGACCAGAGCTCCTGCCCCTATCAATGAAACGACTCCTAAGAAAGTAGCCCAAGCAGTTGCAGAACCGAGCAGGTCAGAGGCGGCGTCGGGAAAAGTGAAACAGAGCGGAGAGGCTTCTGAGAAGGCGTTGGTGGATGCAAGGGAAGCGGAGAGAGTTGCGGAGGCCAAGCTTGGAGCGGGTGGGGCTTCCGAGCAGAGCGGAACGGAAAAAGCGGAACCGGTAGCAGGGCCTCTGGGGGTCAAAGCAGCAGAGTCTGCCGTGCGAGACGCCGTTAACAAAAGCCCCACACCAGTAACGGACGTCACGGTTATGAGGCCAACCGAAGGGAACGAAGAGAACGTGCCGAATCAGACAAAACCTGCGCCGGGAGAGCCGCTGTCGGATCCCACCCCCAGCCCCGAGGTTTTGGCGACCGCGTCTGGCAAGGGCGGCCGCAAGAGCAAGCCCCGCAGGCTGTCGCTGGTCGCCCGACAACAGCCCCCCAAGAACGAGCAGCCGAAGTCCGCGCCCAAAACTGCAGTGGAAGAAACGAAAGCGGCGCCAACAAAGGGGGAGAACGAGGTTGGTGGGGGCGAGACTGTTACAAAGAGCGACTCGGCGGAAGCTTCTGCGGAAGCGGGCAAGGGCGTGGTTGCCCCTGGAGGTTCCCTAGCTGCCGAGGAGAGCGTGAGAAGTGCGGACGTCCCTGCTGTAAATGAGGAAAAGGGTTCTGAGCCGAGAGGGAAGAAAGGAAATCCGAAGCCTGGGGACGGTTCCGCTGGAGCTGAGTCAACCGATAAGGCTGCCCGAGAAAGCGCCCAACAAAAGGAGGACGTGGCGGGGGCTGGTGGCCAAGAAGCCGCCACTGCTGAGGCAAGACCTGACACACGAGATACCCCTTCTGTGACGTCACAGGTTGAGAAGCGCGAGGGGTCGGAGAGTGCGTCAAATATCGCTGAGCTGGCGACGTCGCTGTCTCAGGAAGATTCGACGAGCAAAGTGGGGGCTGGGCAGGATTCGGGGGGCGGAACGAGCACGGGCAACGAGGCGGGGGGTGAAGGGTCGGGTGGGGACGAGAGCAGGGGTGCCGGCACGGGGCCGAGCCAGGGGGGGGGACCGGAAAGCGGCGGAGGAGGGGGGGGGGATGAGGGCGAGAAGAAAGACGGGGCTGACGCGAGTGGTAAAGACGAAGGCGGTGTGACGAAGAAGAAGGACTCTCCTGGGGGCGAAGAGGGGAAGCTCGTTGGGGGCGGACCTGAGAAGAACGTGGGTGACGTCAGCACCCAGAGTGCTGCTGACGCCGGCGCCGAGAGCTCTGCTGACGTCAGCGCCGGGGGGTCGCTGGAGGAGGGGGCCAAGTCAGCGGAGCAGAGAGTTTCTCCGGAGGAGGAGGACGCGGCAGCGAAGATGTTAGGTACGGAGGCGTTGGGCGGCGAGAACGCGGATCGGGGCGTATTCAAGGAAAGGCTGTGGTCGTATCTTTTCGACGTAAGTGTTCTTAGAAAGTACTTCTGCTTCAAGTTTGCATTTCTCTTGCTGCCAAAGGTTCATTTGGAGTTGTTTATAGATTGAGGTTCAAAGAGTGCGAAGCAGTTGTTAGAAGGAACACGATTTGCAGCTAGCTTCGACTAGATTGTGGCAGCTCTTGCAAAACCACCGCCGTTGACGTTGAAGGAGTCACTGCTTCGTGTGCGTACTCGGTGGGCCCCGATGCAAATGTTACTGCATGATCAAGTCAACGTAAGTCAACCAGTTCGAGAAATTTGTCGCTCTCTCCAGAGTTGGGCCGCTCGATCGACGAGCTTTACGTTCTTTGCGAGCTCGAGTGCGACGAAACCCACATGCGCCAGGCAAACGTTTTTCACCGCCAGAGATCCCTGTAGAATGAACAAGTATATCTGTTCCCGCAGAATCTGGGCCGTTCCATTTACGAGCTCTACTTTCTGTGCGAGCTCGAGTGCGACGAGGCGCACATGCGCGAGTCCAACACATCTGGTAAAATTTCAGTACTGAAATCATATGCATCTTCATCGATCTGAACAGACGTCTATCCACCTTTCCAACAGAATCTCGGCCGTTCGATCGACGAGCTCTACTTTTTGTGCGAGCTCGAATGCGACGAAGCGCACATGCGCGAGGCGATGCAAGTACTGGGCGAGGCGGGGGACGACTTCCGAGAGCTGAAGGCCCGGGTGGAAAAGCAGGACCGATTCGAGCGCGAGCGCAGGGCCACGCGGGGGCTGCCGGTTGTGCACCGAAGGAACCGGGCGATTGCCTGGGAGGTGAGTTCGTACGGGCTTGAATGTGGGGACAGGTTTGCATTTCTTCCTTGCAAACGAAGAAGGAAGTAGTGTTGATTACTGTTGGTAAGTTCGACAGTGAGCGCCAGATCGTGAGGCGCAGATAGAGACTTTGCTCGAGGGAGGTGCTAGAGTAACATATTTTCAAAAGTTTGTTTCAAATTGTGAATTGTCTTGCACATCCTCCGTAGTCAATTCTCGATCTTCTTTCCACATCATCCGTATTCAGGCAGCCACAGTCAACAAGCGAACTCAAAAGACGCGCCTTTCTGCAAATTCCTTCGTTGTACGCGTGTCAAGCGCAAGGATTAGTAAGCCCGCTAGACGGGTGGGTGACTTCGAGGGGTTAGGGTGGGTACCGGTGCGGAGCAGGTGACGTAGTCAGAGTGTTTGCTCTGGAGCTAATTACTCCAAACGCTTCCTACCATCATTTTGAAATGACGCGCTTTTTTTGCAGGTCCGTCGTACAACCAGCACAACTGAGCGCGCCGAGCTCCTCGCCGCGTCGCTGGACGCGCTCCGTTTCCTGCGGACGTCCACCGTTTCCCAGCCCCCCGGAAGAAAACCCTCGCTTCCCAGAACACCCCCGTCATTGTTAGCGAAAACCCGGTCGACGTCCCAGGCGGAAAGTCGCCGGTTGGCAGCCTTGGCTGGGGACGGGGAAGCGACCGGTAGGTCGACCACGGGGGACGCAGAAGCTACCGGTAGGTCGAGCTCGGCGCCCGGAAAGTTCTCCCCCGTGAAGTCCAGGGAGAAGCGGGACGTGGGCGCTGGGGCAAAATCGGATGTGGGCAAGAGAGAGCCGGGGGCGAAAGGAGGGGAAGGCGTCGAGAGTGCAACGGCGGCAAAAGCGAGTGATGCTAAGCAGGCTGCGCCGGAGGTTACCCGTGTTGAGACTTCCGGTTCTATTAACCAGAAGGACCTAAGGAAGGAGCTTTTCGAGGGGAAAGAGAGAGCAGCCAACAAGAAGGTCGCAACTCAAAAGAAGGCCCCAGCCGACAAGAAAGAGCTGGCGGAAGAAAAGAGCGGGAAGGCGATCGAGAGCGATCGCGTCAGCGACGCGGGGAGCGACCGCGCGAGCGTGCACAGCCTGAGCCGCTTCAGTGACGTCGGCTCCGACCCCATGACGTCAGCCGGTGACGTCAGCGGGCGCTTCGGCGTGGCGGCGTCGCTCTCGCGCGTGGCCGCGTGGCGGGAGAAGCGCAACTGGGTGGACCACCTCGCCCTAGTTTCCTCGCCCCGACGGGCGGACGGGAAGCGGGCGGAATCCGGCCGGAAGCCGGACGGAAAGGCGGCGAAGCGGACGGATTTGCATGGCGAAGCCGAGCCGGGATTTAGGAACGGTTCCCGGAACAGGGGGGTCGGTTCCGCGGAAAACGAAGGGTTGTCCGAGGAGGGTGTCGGGACGAAGGAGCGGGTTCCGGGTGTTGTTCCGCTGCCTCCAGCGGATCTGAGGGCCGGCAGCGCGGAACGAGCGAAGATGCTCCACGACAAGCTGATGTCACCGGAGCGGCGCAAAAAGACGCCGTCAGAGACACGGGAGAAGGTGCGGTCCTGCTTGAAACATGGACGACGGTTCTGGATGCGACCAAACGAATTATCCTTTCCGTGATAACAAGATCTCCGTTCATGTACAAGAGCAGAAGATGCCAACCACTCACAGGTTTGAGAGTCCCACTCGGAATGAAGAGTGTTTGAACGGGACAATTGTAGAGAAGAGGATATGGCGATGTCAAAACGTTCCTTGCAGTACGCGTTTCGCAAAGCACTCGTGCAACAACAGGACCAGTCCCTCGAACTTCTTTACGCTTCTCCCGTTCGGACCTTAAATTCGAAATGTTCCATATTTCAAAGCCGTCGAACCCTAGAACCTATGATTACGCTCAATTCAATGTTCGCCGTCTTTCTGTCCAGGTCGACGAGAAACAGGCACGCGCAGCCCAGGTGCGGATCGACCTGGAGTCCGAGCGGAGGGCCAAGATGCAAAGAAGCGCGGAGCGGGCCAGCAAGGTTACGGAATGGCAGGTGCGTTCCGGTGTCTGTTCGCCACTCTAGTTCAAGTCGCATATTCCTGTTTATCTATGACCTGGCAGGATGGATGCATTCAATGTTTTCGCCGAAACTTGGTTTTGAAGGTACTGAAATCAGCGACAGAGAGCTCTCAATATGTGCGAAAGTCATTAATATACCCATTGCCCTGTAGCACATTCCTGTGTTTTATGTTATAGGCACCCTGCCCAGTTGTCGGCGGTTTTAAGTGCGAAGACGGAGTGCTCGAGTTGGTTTTCACTTGGAGAGAACGATTTTCTCAAGCTGACGTCATGCTTCCGTACGTCAGGAGATCCGCCGCTCGAAGCTGTCCAAGAGCATGGAGGTGCGTCACCAGCAGAGCGAGTCCCGGTATGAGGCCCACTTGGCGCAGATCGTCAAGCGGGCCGGGGACGAGGCGACCAAGGTGGGCGTCTGTCCTGTTGCTCGGTCGCCCTTTCCCGTAGCCGGTTTTCCGGTCGGCCGAAGCTTCACCTTTGCCGCTTTCCGCTTGTTCTTGGGGTGTACTTTCTCCGTGAGAGGTCTGGAAAGAGTGACGAACCGCTTCATGCAATCCGAGAAACCGTCTTGTTGGCGAGGACGGCAGAATGCTCAAGCTTTGCATTGACTGCATTTGAAGCTTCAATATCATTCATCATAGTATTGGTAACGAAATCGGTGCCAGCAACTTGATCAAGTCCTTTGGCCTGATCCGTTCGAGAGTCGCTCCATACAGTTTTTCATCAAAAAACAAACTACATTCTAACACTGCGCAGCAAAATTGACGCTTTGGAAACCAGACCCAAGTGAAGGTCTTTGATTGTTGCCACGTGTCCAGGTGAACGAGATCCAGTTTATCAATACGATGACCGCCGAAAAGAAGAAGCTGTCAACGCAGATGTTGTACTGTAAGATTCTGCTTCTGACTCCAGCGTTCCGGCTGCTGCCACGTGTCCAGGTAGACCAAACCAATCCACGAACACGATGACGGCGATAGGAAGAGGTTATTGGGGAAGCAAATTTTTGGTTGTAGTGATACCTAGATCTGACTTTGAGCGGGCCGCCTGTTGCCACGTGTCCAGGTGAATGAGATCCAGTTCATCAATACGATGACGGCGGAAAACAAGAAGCTGTCGACGCAGCAGAAGATGCAGGACAGCGAGGCGCGCCGCCAGGAGCTGCTACGAGCGCAGGTCAAGAAACGGGAGGAAGAAGCGGCCAAGTAAGTTATCGCTTGCTCGCCACGGTAATCTGCTTTCACGGTTCTCTGAAAGTGAATCCAATCATGATAGGCCTCGGTGTCAGTGTAGTTCGCCTTCTGGTGATGTATCTTGATTCGTCAATCTCTTTGAAGGTACTCTGGTGCTCACTTGAAAGCCTCATACAAGGTTGCGCTGCAATCCCCAATCTGCACTTAACGCTTATTTGACGCTTCGGAGCGACGTTTGACCTATAAAGGGCTGTATACTTCGCTGTGAACGTCTGTGCCGCCGTCTAGCGTATTCTTCCAGTCCCTGCGTAAAGGAGCCTGCCACGCTCTCAAAGCCTTCTCTTAAATAGCCTCTTTGGCTGCCCTATACCACCAACTCCGTTCCGCCCACCTCATTGCAGGGAGGAGGCAGCCCAGGAACGGCGGAAGCAGAAGGAAGAGGAGCGGCAGCGGAAGCTCTCCGAAGCACAGGTCAGCGAAGTTTTCGGACGTTCACTTTGGATGCGAGTGCGAACTCAAGGTTGTGTCCTCCAGGAGAAGTCGAACAAAATTCCGTAAAGCGCCCCCGAGCCACAGGACCGCCGCTTTCAAGGTCTGGAATTGGTTGGTCGGAAGCTGAGATCCCAAACGCATGGTCTCTCGCACGGCGAGCGCGAACTCAGCCATAGTGATCGAGAGCTTCAAGTCGGGAAAGCCCCAATTTTCGAGTATTCTGGGTTCGTAAGAAATTCATCAGCAACTCTGCCTCTTGGGGCAGTTGCATGTCGGAGGCGCTCACAGTTCTCAATCTCGTACTCTGCAGAGGAAGAAAGAGGAGGCTGCCGCGCGCCAGGAGGAGGAGAAGCGAAAGCTGATGCAGGAGCGCAAGGACCGGGCGCTGCAACAGGTGAATCCGTTTTGCGCGGTTCGACACTTCTTTTTTGCAGTTCTGTCCTCGATCTTTGTCAGCTGGCTTGCATGTTTTATTGTGATGAATAGACGATGCTCATGTCTCGTCTACCTCATCCGTTCCGTGAGGGCCGAAATGGTACTATACGACGCGAGAACTGCCCGACACTGGCAAAGGGAATTCCGGGTTCTTAGAGGTCTTCCTTTCTTCGCCCATCTGAGCAAATTCGCGTAAGCAGCCAGGATCAGAATCTCGGACAAAGGTTCAAGAAGAGACATCCGCCTTGACTACTCTTAACGATCCAGCCAAGCCTCAGTAAGCACAACCAGTTGCACGACGAGCTCAAGCTGGGTACCCTCTAAGTCTCTGACGAAAGTTCTGTTTGAACGGCCACAGGCACAGCGAATGGAAGAGCAGAAGCGCGCACAGCAGGAGCAAGCGGAGCTCCTGGGGCAGCGCCTCGCTGAGCGCCTCCGAGAGAGCTCCGCCCGGCGCCTTCTCTACCTGGAACAGATCAAAGAACGGGCCGCCGTCGATCCGGAACGTCTCAGGTGAGTCAGTGAACGGGACTCTGCAGCTTATAGGATTCTAGGGAGTCAAGATTCCAAGGTGAAGAATGTCAACTGAACAGGAAGGTATCCTTTGAGCAAAAGTGGACGAGAGCGTTGGAGACGTGGGCAAAAGCAGAGGATTCTTGGCGCTTGCAGCAAAGTAGTGGAATTGTTGCTTTCTGAATACGGTACTGAGGTTCTTGATCCGTCCGAGCATCGTATCACTGCAAGTGGCCGCGTCTTCATCTGCAGTGGCAAAAATCTCTGAGCAACTTGCGGCTACTCAAAAGTTGACAAAAACAAAACGACATTTGGTTTCCTACCTTTTCACAGGCTCGGTCCGGACTCGCCGTACGGGCGTCTCAGCCCTAATCGCCTGTCGCCATCACGGAACTCTCCGCTTCGTCGGCCGTCAAGCCGGGACGGTTTCCGTTCCGGTCCGAGGGTGAGCGGAACGGAACGCACCGGCGGAACGGAGCGGAATGACGCGGCAAAGCGCGTTGCTGAGCCGGCTGACGTCGGAAAGGCGGATACGGCGGCTCAGGAGAGCGACAAAGCCGCAGAAGTCGCCCCCCCGGTTGCGAGAGAAGCTGCTCCACCGGCGGCTCTAGAGGTTCCGAGCACTACGGAGAAGCCTGCGAAACCTCTAGAGAAGCCCACGATCGTCATCCCCGCGGACCGGACCAGCGCGCCGGCCTCGAGCGCGCCGAACGACACGTCAGCAGCGAGAGAGGCGCTGAAGAAACGGCTGAAGCGAATCCGGCAGCGGTTGGTTCAGAAGAAGCATGAGTGGGTGGAGGGAGACTCGGGGCCGGAAAAAGCGGGCGGGTCGGCAGTGGGCAAATCACGGGCCGCGAAGTGGCTGCTCGACATGCAGCGGCAGCAGGCGAAGGGCGGGAACGGCGTGGCGCTGGAGAGCGCGGCGGGGGAGCTCGTCAAGGTGAGGTCACGGAGTGACGTCAGTATCTGCGGATTTTATCATACGTTGCGAGGTTGTGTCGGCTGGAAAGACGGTATTACATCCTCCAGCCATATCCTGCGATAGAATGGTGCGTCTTGTGAAAGAGTCGCAACGAACAAGTTTTCAAAACTAAGGATGAGTCGAAGGTCGTTAGGAGTCCAGCTGCAGTTTCTTACAACTTTTGGGCGATCAGCGACTTTCCTTGTTTTCCACGCCTCGCCCTTACTGACCCGAAGTCCTTGATTAAAATGTTCATGCGGGATCATTAGATCTCCGTGAGGGACAACCATGTGATGCGATTCTAACCTCGTCAATATACGCGCTTTTCTGACATGAGGTCCCTTCCTTGTTGCAATCCACTTCGGGGCTGACGTGTTTTTTCCGTGATACCCCAGTGTTTGAGGGGTGCAGGAAAAGTCCTCAGATCCTCATTGGTGACGTCTACTACTCAAGTACTGACGTCACCTGTCTCTTCACACCGCAGTTCTTCGAAGGTAGACCTGAGGAGCTTAACGCCGCACGCCGCGTGGGCCTGGTCGACTTCGCTGCCAGCGCGTTAGTGTCAACGACGCCAATCCCGCCGCCCCGGGCCGTTGCGGCGTTGCTGCGAGTCCTCCGGGTCTTGCTGACGTGGCCGGGCAACAGGAGGTGAGGCCTGGCTATTTCGTGCTGACGTCATTGGACTGTAGCATAGGAACTTTGTTATCATTCCCCTTGAGTTGTGAGGGCAGAAGACGTGATCTGGGAGTCGTGACTGACGACATATGACGCTCGAATGTCGAATGAAGTGGTGATGTGCCGAGATGCTCTCGCGCAAGCAAGGGCCCAAGGAGAAGCTCTGCGGAAGTTGCACGCGGCAGACTACAGGAGCGTAGGACAGAACCGAAACTTCCACTTGCATAATCATCAGATTCGCAGCCCAGATAACAGTCAGAAAAGGTCCGGCGACCCAACGAGCTGACGGAGCTGACGTCAGATGACACTCACTGACGTCGCTTTCCACTCTTTGCAGCTACTTCATCGCCCGCAACTTCCTACCGCCCCTCCTCCCGATCCTCACCGCCAGCCTGTCCCGCTTCAGTGGGGCCGTCGCGCCTGGCGAAAGCAACCCCCCGAAAGCGAGCACACCAGGGCTGGATAAGGGGGAAGGCAAAAACGCAGTCGTCGAAAAAGAGGGTCTTGATGCGGCGATCCTAGAGGGAGTGCTCGCGGTTGCTGCGCTCGTGGTGAAGCATAATTGCGGGGGAGACGAGAAGGTGTCGGCAATGCAAGAGGACTTGGTAAGCGCGCAAAGCCTTGCACTGTTTGTGGGACAAGAAGTTTTAGGAATGTGTCTCCTTGCTTGATCTTCGCCTTGAAGCGCGTACGGACACAGACCTAAAAGTCCGCAGGGAGGCCAACAGCTGAGTCCCGTCTATCGAGTCGAGGCTTTGGAAGCCCTTGGAAACAGCGTCCAGGCAGAGCTTGTTTACGAGGTCAAGGCTCGTCAAATATATATGAGAGCCGGTGTTTCAGGTTTAGTCTTCGGCGTTCGAGAGATCCCATTTCGGATATGGTTTGCGAGCGAACTTGAGCATCCGGTTCATTGATCTGTCCTTTTAACTTGCAAAGTGAGCTGACCCAGTTTGCGAATCACATCGACTAGCTCAACCTCAGCCTTCTTGGTTCAACCTTTCCCAACTTGTGCCCATTCCCCAAAGAGTCGATTCGCACCACCCAACGCCGCCTCAAGTAGCTCAGTAACCCGATCAGTAAACTGGTTCAATTCAACGGCTCCTGCCTTCAATTCTCGCCAGTCGGAGTAATGATGTTTGTATCCAGATTATAATCCAAGTTTTGCTGAGGGCGGAAAAGGATTGTGAGACCCTCCGAAGCAAGTTCAACGTGCCAGATAGCAGCATTGAGAGCCCCCGTCGGGAGCCGGATGGAACACAGCCACGCTTTGAAACTCGCAGGGAGTTGTGTGCTGCGGTCAGCAGACCTCGACTCAACATCCAGTAAGAAAAGAATTTGCCGTTTGCTAAAATTCAACTTGAGCTCAGATTCCTTGAAACACTTTGCTAGGTGGAGCTCATCGTGGTTAGCGAGGTCCCCCAGAAACTGCGCGACCTGTTCTCCATCTTCGACTGCCCCCCCGCCGACGGTCAACTGGGCCCTCTACCGGGCGCCTATGTGGCGAGTCTACTGCTGCTGGAAGGTCTGACGAGCGCTCGGGGAAAGCTGGCCGGAGCAAGCGAACTGCCGGTGCACCAGCCAAAAGCGGAGCTGGCCAATAGTCGGGCGACCAAAGCGGTGCTGGACGCGGTGGTCGAGACGGGTCTGGTGAGAAACGCTCACCCGTGTGGCGCCTGATTTGGGGGCTGATATGATTCGAAACCACGGTTTTTTGGATGAAGCTCACACCCTTGATGGGCAACTTGTGGTCTTCCCGGAGCAAAATAAGATCAGATGGGTTTGCGTAGATGCTCCTCTCCGTGTCCCCTTTCAATGGACAGACGGTCAGCGTCTGGTCTTTTTAGCAGGGTGCGAGAAGCCCGACACTCCAAAAATTCACAAACCCCGAACTCTTGAACTTAAGCTAGAAGACCACATGACGCGCCGGGCTCTGTAACGCCCCCGCTACATACCGCACTCCAATACCCCGCATCAATAACCAGATATTTCTGCATCTATTGAGGAGATCTGTATCCTAGCCAAAGCTGAACAAGTTGGTGATCTTTTGCTCAGGTGGGTCTTCCGAGCCTTCTGACCGCCGTCCTTCTTCGGGCGGCGCCGCCGAAGACCACCCCCGAGCAGGCGGCCGCCATACTCCCAGCCAACTTCGAAGAAGTCGCCACTCTAGTTCTCCGCGTGCTCAACAACCTCGCCAGGCTGGACCTGAAGCTGTTCCAAGCGCAGCTGGTAAGCGATCTGGCCTTTTCCGTTCCTTTCTCGTCCTGCTTTCTCGTGCGTCCTTGTGACAATTTGCAAGCTTCGTTTTTCCTCTGTGTTTTCTGGAACTCAAGAAGCTGTTCCAAGCTCAGCTGCAATAAGCAACCCGGTCTTTCTCCGTGCCTCTCTCGTAGTTTCTTTTTAATCCCGGTCTCTCTTGCAGCTTTCTGATAATCCTTCTTTATGCGTCACTTTGCGCTCTCTTTCCACAACAAGTTGTCGTTTCAAGTTTGTATTTCAATGGCCTTTTTAAGAATCAATGGGTACAGGCTCCAGGCTTTGCGTCCCGTCTTCTTTAATCCTCCATAAGCCCCCGTGCTTTCAGATCTGCAAGAGGGTTGCACGTGACTTGTTTTATGTTAACAGCAGGTTTTGACGCGTCGTTTTAATCAATTGTTCTGAAACGAGAAAGACCGGGATAGCATACCGAAAGAAGGGCAAAGTCTACAGGCAGGCAGCATCCACCAGAGTCTGAAAGAGGAGACCGCACGAGACGCTGCCTTTTGCTCCTCTGAAGCCTTTTGCCTGCTAGAATCCGGATTGCTAAATCGCATCTTACGAAACTTGCAGCGTCCACTTCCAGCTCCCATAGTGGCTCTCCACTCAAGAGACGGTTTGTGAGACTCTCTCCTACTTCTTTCTGCAGGAATCGTCAGACCTAAAGGTGGAGTTCTTCCACCTCGTCACGTTCCTGCTGTCCCACTGCACCTGCAAGTGGAAGCAGCCTTCGGACAAGGTATGCAGGCTCTTGTCTTCAAGTAGTAATTGAACGGTCTACTTCAGAAAGCGATTACGTCCAGCAACGTCTAAGGATTACTTTTGCCCATCACAGAAAGGTTGCACCCCTTCGATCTCTTCACGAATCTTTTCAATTGCTCTTTGGCTTCCCCAAGAATCCCCGCACGCCTTTTCTTCACTGCTATTTTCGGAGTTGCCGGTATCCGTACCGTGATTTCAACAATCTTTCCCGGCTCCTCCTCAGACTAGGCTCCTCCTCCTCCACCCCATCTCAAAAAGTTTGAAACTCTCGACGCAACCAAAGTTACAACTCGTCCAGCGACGTCCCCTGCGTACCTCATCCTGACCTAAGTCGCTGACGTGCGCCACTGACGTGCGCCACTGCTGGGCTGTGCACGCTGCCGGCGTTAGAAAATCTGACGTCTGCTTGCAGTGGCCTGTCTAAGTTGCTGCCGTGCGCCACTGCTCGAATGCACTTTACGCCGTTCAAAAAGCTGACGTGTGCGAACGACGTTTTGACAGGTGGCGGGGCTTCTCCACGAGACGCTGCTGCTGGTTGGCTACTTTGCGCTCCTGCATCCAAGCAACCAGGCGGTGCTGCGGTGGGGGAAAAGTCCGACCATCCTCCAAAAGGTGAGGCTACGTTCATAATAGGCTTATCCTATGACGCTTCTAGCAATTGATTCATACTATTTGACTTCCTTCTGGGGTAACCCACGTTTTGAATCAAGAAGCTAGAGCGATACATCCTGGCAACCAGGCGGTGCTTCGGTGGGGTGAAGAGTCCGACCCTTATCCAAAAGGTAAGGCTATAAATTTGCTGCGCATGTAGCAGAGGTCGCTGTGCGAGCTGCCGTTCCCTTTTCTGTTCACTTCGACCAGCGACCGTTTGACAAATCCACTTTTGGCGACGCTCCTCTCGTCTTTCTTACCTACCGTCCCCAACTCTTAATTCATTTGTTTCGTCACGGCGAAAAGATTCTTACTTCCTAGGCTCCTCCCTCGCACTTGTGCGTGCTGCCTTTCCCGAGTTCAGGGACTCAGCTCTCCCGCTCATCCTGTCAGGGACGCTTTCACCCCACTTGCTATCAATCTTTCTTATTTCTCTGTCTTTTTTTTTCCGTGTCCTGATAGCAAACCAACTCTCCAGGCTTTTTGGCTGCATGTTGTGCGCACCTCCGCACCTTATTCAACGGCGCAGCTCAACGGCCCCCCTGTTTCTTTAATCCCTTTAGCCCGCCTCACATGGCGGCAGTCCTTCCATCGTTACTTCAGAGCAAAAGAAACCCAATCCAATTATCTCACACACATTCTCCTCAAGCAATCTTGACTTCTTCAGTCCCGCAAATGTGCCGTTCCCCTACTTCAGCGACCGGGCTCTCCTGCCTCTCCTCTCTGAAGCACGTGTGTTAGTCCGGTAGAAAAACTGTCTTCTTCCCTCTTCACACAGATTATCTTGCGATGATTGGATTTTCTGACGTGGTCTTTGGTGCAGTTGTGCGAGCTGCCGTTCCCCTACTTCAGCGATGCGGCCCTCCAGCCGCTCCTCTTCGGGACGCTCCTCTCCGCTTGTTACGGCAGCGACCGGAACCGTGACGTAGTCGAACGCGAGTTGAGCGCCGACATGCTCCTCAGTTTTCTGCAAACCTCCGCTTCAGAGCTTCCGGAAGCACTGCGCGGGGCGGCCGCGGCTGAGATGGAGAAAGGTGGGGGAAAAGGGAGAGGCTTGCTACCTGAAGAACTGAGCGTTGAGAGTGTAGTTGGGGAAGGCAAAATCGGTGAAACCTTGGGAGTTGGTTCCACGAAGCGGGCCGATGTGAAAGGGGCGGGAGCGTCGGTTTCACGTGTTGACGGCACTGCTTTCAGGACGGAAGGGGAGCGGAATCCCGCAGCGAAACCCGAGATGGGCGGTGCTGCAGAAGCAGGGACGGCGGAAACGGAGAGAGCGGAAAGTGCCAACGAGGAAGGGGCTGCTGAAATTGACAGAGGGGCTGTTGACACGCCGCCAGGCGGTACAGGGATTGTTCAGCGTCTTCGCAGTGCTGACGTGGGCAGAACGGAAACGGGCATACTCGAGAGCGCTGCAAGCTCTAGTGACGGCGCTTCGTCCAGAGCAAACAATGTCTCTGCCGCGGGTCAGAAAACGGACTCAGGGAGCGGCAAGGGCGCTGCGAAGACCGGCACTGAGCCTTCAAAACTAGGAGCGGACGAAAAGTCCGCTGCTCGACTTCGAGACTCCAAGCGGGAGTCTCGGAGTCGGCCTGGCAGTGCTGGAGCTAAGGGACCTAAGGATAGGGGTGAAAATAAGCTAGATAACAGAGTTTTGAGTGCGGGAAACGCGAAGAGAGCGGAACCCCCAGCGGCGAAGAAAGCGAGCCAAGAGGTGGCTGCGCCCTTCCGGCTGCAGAATCGGTTCCCCGTTTCGATGTGGACTGCGGCTGAGGAGTACTTTGCAAAGCCGCCTGGGAAACACTAGGACTGTAACAGACTACAACTATCATTTGGCAGATCTACTAAGGCCGTCTTGCTTCGGGGACAAGGTTGATGTATTTTAATGAAGGGAGGTACTCAGAAAGCACGTATCCACAGAATGGCTCTTGAGTTATGCTTGTGATAAGTTGCCCTTGACGATAGAACAGTGACAGCCAGACCCTCGTTCTGGGAAAAATGTGGCTGCTTCACTATTACTAACCGTCTTTGCTTCTAAGGAAACGGATTGGGAGGACATTGCTTCATCTGTAACTTAAGCAGGCTGGATTTTCAACAATTTCTCCGGTCAACAACGTGATGATCATGAATATATGTGCATGCAATTACCAATTTGAGGCAGGAATGATCGAGCGGGTCTGAGTCGATTTCAACGGCGCTACCATCCCTACATGCATTCAATGCGTCACGGCTCAGCTGTTCTGTGCTTCTATAGATAATATATGCGCGATTGGCACAATATATGCAGATGATCGCTTGACTGAGTGCAAATCCATCTGCATAAGTGACCTGCACACACATGCCAGCAGACTCATGGAATATGTCCCGAGTGTTGGACTGTGAGTCTACTATAGTGGAATTATTTCCGGCCTGATCCTGTGCCGATGTAATTTTCACAACTTTCAACTTATCCAAGTAATGAATGATCCAACTCACTTATATACTGGTAAGTGTTAATGTGCGCGGCCCGCGCGGGCGGCCAGGTACGCAATGATGTCTTTGCGGTAGATTCTGATCGGTTCTGCGCGCAAATGGTTTACTTAGATGTACCGCACTAATCATGTTGCATGGTTAGAGCTCTGAGTCCTCAGTGGGATTGGATGAGACGCCCATCAGAATGTGACGTACGTCCATGGCGCTGCGCATGTACACGGACAGCAAGTTCAGAGTCAACGGTTGCTGGTGATTGATTGATTGCCAGGCGCCTTAATAACCAATCCCATGTTCGTGTGGCATCCAAGCTCTTGTGCCCAATCAAATAAAGTCTTGAAACTTGACAAGAGAGCCTGCAGATTGAGATGATCAGCTCGTGCAACACCAGACAACTCTTACTTCTATCTAGCTACTAAGCAAGCAACGATGTGAGTACATGGTTCTCGCCAAAGCCCAACTAAGTTTAACCAGCTCAAATTGACGCATGCTTTAATCAACTTCCTAAAACTAACTAGTTGTTTCAACCAACAAGCGTTGGTACTTTCAACCAACAAGCACTGCGACTGACCTTCTAACCAGTATATTCTAGGCCAATCATCAACATCACCCGCCAGGTTTTTCATTGTGAAATATGCCTCGCTTAAATAAAACCTCACCTTATAAGACTCTATCTGTCTTTGGCCTGCATTAAATATTGACCCTTATTCCACTTAATGGCCGGCCTAAATGACCCTAACGAGTTTGCAGAAAGATACCTGAAAGCCTGCACTACTTGCTCGACATACCCTGAACCACCACCAAAGATGCAGATTCCAAAGAAGATCCACGAAGTTGCATCTCCTGATTGCAGCCGCCCATTCTCTAGCATGTTCGTCCTGCGGAGTCTCTCTCTCAATCCTCCGTTCCCGTGTCGTCATCGCCGTCCACTGCACAATAAGCTCAGGTCAGCCACAACAGTCGAACATGGCTAGCCACAACAACAGAACCACGAATCATTCGATCTGCTCATGCAAGCCGTCTTCTCAGATTGTGTGTGCACATTTAGCGCTCGATCGAGGAGCAACACTTTGTGCCGGAGGATTGTTGCGAAGGGTTGCGGCGGACCCGCGATTGATTGGCTGGCTTGTTTCATTTCAACCGCGCGAGAAGTGATGCACGGAAACTCACTATCCTCTGGAGAGCCTTGAGCCTCAGCATTGTATAGGTCAGTTTCCGAGAGCATGCCGCTCTTGACCAAGGCTCCAATGACGGTCGTGCACATGCCCTCAATCCTCGCCTCGCTGTCTATCAGTCGCCTCTCCATCTTGGACATGCCGCTCTGTGTACATGGAAAGGAGGACGCTTAGGATGATGGTTCTAATGCTGATCATAGGAATACAACTCCATCTACAAACCGATTGCAAAGTCTGCATGATTATGGCACGATCAAAATCGAAGATCGCATGATGATCATGCCACTTGGTGATGCTTGCATCAAGTTTTGCGCTTCTTAGGAACTTCGGATTGCTTTTGATACACTTGCATACTTAGATCTGGCGGTTATGTTAGTCCCACCCTGACTGTACCGTATGCCAAGATTATAAGTTTTGACGAGCTCACCTTGACCTCGTGCAACTCCTTGTTCTTCTTGACGGGTTTCTTTGACTTCGAAGCCCTCTCTGTGACATGTTTACCGTACATCGCAAGTATCTGTCTCGCCAACCTCTGAGGATCATGCGATCCGACGTCGTCGGCCTGCACCATGGTTTGAGGGACGCACAAAATTCATATTGAAACGGGTGCAAGAACTACTCGAGTTATCAGCGACCGGCCCCTCTATGTCACCATCAGCCCCTTTGCTACATTGAAACGGGACCGTAGACGATTTTCAAAACAATCAAGTGCAGCTCCTCCTTGAGAGTCTCCAATCGAGCTTTGCCTTAGGCCAAATTACATGCAACTTGAGAGAATGTTCTGCTTTTGAATTCTTAGCCTGGCCTGCCGATCCTTGGGCAGAGTGTTGGTTCTAATTGCAACTCAATGAGCAACACAAGAAGAGTAGAATTTTCACCACATGCAAGAATTTTGTTATGAAGAACAGGTCAAGAACAACCTCCATGCGCCGCCGTTCAAAGATCTCTTGTAGGGCGTCCAAGTCAAGCTGCCGTCCATCGAGGGTTAGAACCAGCCTTTCGCTCAGTTCACCATCTTCTCCGGTGGATTCAAAGTCCGATCCCTGCACACAAAAGGTCTTGATACTCAAAAAGCAATTAATGCAGACCTTATCTGAATCTGCTTTGAGCCAGACAAGTAGCTTATTGAGAACTTGCCCTCTGCATGAGTGAGAGATCTAACTTCTACGCACAAAAGACCTTTGCAAGCACCAATTCTCAATAGTAGGTGCTGCAGATAGAAGGTGCTCCACTTTCGAGTGAGTTCCAAGCAGAATATCAACCTTCCCATACCGGTGAATCTCCCCTTCGCCCTACTAAGTTCGTAGTGAAAGGCCTCTTATGAATCATGCAGAGACGTCGAGGAGCAGGAACTCTTCTAAGGCAAGTTCCACCAACATGCTTCATTATTTTGTTGTCTCGGGATCTTCCAAGCTGAGATGCACCTACTTCCGTATATACGCACCTTGGATCGGTTGCCGTCCTCGACAACCTTCCTCTTCTTCGCACCCCAGGCTTTCAGCTGCTTCATCACCTTGGCATCCGATAGCTGGCGCTTGAACGGCCTCTCGATCTCGTACTTACCAAACTCCACCACTTCTTCCACAATGGTAGGAGCTGTTTCCGTTCGTTCCTGAGCACATTAGAGTAGCAAAATAAGCTTACGTATCGACTCTGACTGTACTAGTAAACAGACTTCTGGTGCTAGCTAGTGTGCTCCGGTCAGATTCGGGGGGCCCTCATGTCCATTTGCCGTTCAGATTCTGAGTGCTTGTATGTCCGGGTCAAGATTGAGCAACACCCACGAGCATCAGCTTTGAGTAAGGACAACTTGGACCGTTGGAGCTGCTTTGTGGCAGAAAAAAAAGCTTTCCGTGCGCCTTGCACCACAATCGAGGTATTTTTGTCCTTGATATATTGCAATTTACAGTAGGCTTAGCCCTTTGCATTATCCAATCGTAGCCAATCATTTTCGATCAAATGTTGTTGCTAACCAACTCACCTTTACATCGGCGAATGCATCAACAGCAATGGCAACCCTGCAGGCCATTGCGTTCGAGAAACAAGTCAGTGCCGGGGAGAACTTTATACCCGATCCTGGTGCAAGTTGCCAAATAGGTTTTGAGAGCATCAAAAGCTAGACGGTTGAGAATCGAAGATAAAGCATTACAGACCAAAATTCTTGTTCAAGTATTAGGCCTTCTAGCAGGAAACGGATTAGCGGTTGCTGATCCAGAGACTGTGCTGAACTGGTACATGGACTGTACTAATAATGACCGGTACGATCTTATGAAGAAGGGTTGGTATAACGGTTACCAGGAAAGGGGAATCTGTTGGCAAGCTTTGATGCATTCTCAAATCCAAGCTTAGGGAGAACGTGTGCTCACAAGAAGTTCATCACAACCATCACCATGAAGATATTGAAGGACCAGAAGAACAGTTGTGAGGCCCAAAACTGCCAGCCGTCAAGTGCTAGGAAGTTGGATTGCGCCTGTAAGTAGACGAGAGTATGTCTTCACATTCCCTGCGACCCAAGTCATCCGAATGCTTTCTACCAGCTCAGTATTTTACTCATAGGTGACAAACACGTGAATGCAAGAAAAGGACTTCAAGTTTGCGAATGACACCACAAATGCTCCTAGTTGCCAACAACCAGAATACGGACTTCATGCATGCCTTGCCGGCCAGCTAGAGAGTCGAGGGTGCGTACCACATGCGTAACCATCACGGGTCCAAGTCAGGAGCGTCAGCTTACTTGAGTATCCCCTAGGATGATGGCAAAACACGTCGCCATTGAGAATCCCAACGTCCGGAACTGAAGTGGAAGAAGAAGAAGGTGCGTCAGTCAAAGTTAAGGTCCTTCAGGCCGAATGTAATGAAAGTGATGCGAGGGTCAGAAGGGTGTGAGAGCTCACACGTGTCTTGAAAGTCTTAAGACTGAAGCACAAGTCACTGCATATGCGTGTTCCACTATTTGATCGAGGTGCTTTATCCTTCGGTTCAACGGCCCCAATTTTGATGCACGCAACAATCCTCTCCGAATCAGCATGCGCGAAGTGACGCTTTTCTGGCTTCGTTTCCAGGATCAAGTGCAATTCGCCTCCAGAATTGAGTTCAACGGCCCTTTTGCCCGAACTTGCGCTGCATAAGAGAGCTATAGACCTGACCGCATGTCAACAAGATCCTAAGAAGATCGAATAAGAGGTGGAAGCACTCACATACTCCACTGAACTTCCGACAATGATATGTCCCATGAAGGAGTACCCAATGAAAATGAGGCCCCAGAGCACGAAGAAGTTGAGAAGGTCCGGGCCCGCCTCCGCAAGCGTACGAGTGAGGACACCCATACGGGGCTGGAAGTCCAAGAGCTTCAGAAGGCGCAAGATCATGAAGAAGATGCTGCAAACAAGCAAGTGAAGTGTCAGCGTGTCAACGCAGCTCCGGCTTCAAGAGCAACACTTCGTTTGTTGTTAGCAAGCTTGTTGTGTCGATGCAGAAGGTTTCATGGATGTGGTCTGCTCTGCCTTTCTACAGAGGGAGGTAAGGATTTGCTAAATAACCAAGTATTTCTATTTATCGTTACAAGGACGGTTTTTGGGAGACACTTGCCCTTGTCTTTTCTATTAAGACGTCTCTAACGGAGTCTCTTAGCTCGCCTTCCAAATCTGAAACAAACAATTCTTATAACTTGGGCAGATTGCGGTTCTCAGTAGGGGAAAGATTTGCCAGGTGAATTACTCACTTGATACCGTTAATGCTGATGTAAGCCGCTCGGTAGGTGGTCAAAGCCTTGAGTCTGTTCAGCATGTACGCGAAGTCGCCAAGCTCGGAGCCGTCCGTTTTCAACTGGAAGAAGCGGGCCTCTGCATTTAGGTCCTCGTAGATGTCGTAGCTCACTTGCGCTTTGAACCCGGGCGTTAGCCCAAATATGAATATGATCCTGCAAAGTGAACGGAGCGGCGTTTGCGCCTTTGATGTACAACTCAAGCTGTTTCAATCACTGAGAATTCGGAATGCAAAATCTTGGGACAAGGATATTACCATTAAAGACAACTTGAACAGGTTCAAGTTCCTCGCTCAATCAAAGTGTGACCAGCTAAACGTGGCAGCAAGGAACACGACTTTGCCAGTCACATTATATCTAAACAAAGGCGGGTACATAGAAGAACACGCTTTACATCATGCGAAACCTTCAAGGTCGACAATGAGCAACTTGGCCAAAGACGCGAACACATATCAACGTGGGTGGACTGAAACCACTGCAGTAGCTAAGGGACTTTGAATGACACCTACCTCATCACCAACGCCGTCAGTAGCAACGCGATTGAGATTGCGTCTATGTAATTCCAGAAGGAGTTGAAGTGACGGAGGAACGATCCGGTTTTCCGTTTTATGGCTACCATGTCTTTGATCTCGGAGTAGGTGGCAAAGAGGATGCCAAAAGTGAGGAGGATCTCAAGTGCTGCTCTCGCATAGGATTTCGGGGTCAGGTAGGCTTGTAGGTCAACTGCAAAAAGAGTATTGAAAATGCGGCGTTAGCGTGAGGATACAGCTAGTTCGAACCGCTTATCCAGCCCATGCGTTGCCACTTTTTTAGAATCTTCAAGAGTGCATACAACCGACAGGTACAGGAAACGCTCCATACAGAGTTCAGCTCCCAGGAATTCAAACTGAAGTCTGGAGAGTCGTCCTGAGCCCCAAAATGATGTTGAGTTACCAAGGGGTGCTCTACCGGAATGCAGAACAAGAAACCTGCTGGAGGAATGAATTGGCATCCTTACTTGCGAAAGTGGACTGCTTGATCGATATCTTCCCCGCAGTTAGGAACGCCATTCTGAGCTCAAAGAAGATGAACATGTTGTCGAAACCTAAAGAACAGAGGCACATGTTAGTGTTAAGCAATAGGGCTTCCACCATAAAGGAGAGCCCGAGAGATCCGAATCCCCAATTCTTCCAAGGAGCAGTTGGTCTCCGGAGCGACTCTGCAAGTTTTGAATCACGACAAGCTGTTCCAGCTGGCCCGCAACCTATTTGGTTGCTTTTATACAGCTCACCGATTGTGACTGTGCAAAGAGGTCTTTGGACGCTTCCCTGAAAAGCTCAGAGCAAGCCAAGCGATAGTCTGCCACGTAAATGCAGATCAAAATGCAGCCCCGAATCACAAAAGAGAGGCTAAAATTCAGCAGATCCCTTCCCAGAGCGGCGTTCGAGATTCACATGTTGAACTTACAATCTCATCTTCGACAGGCAGAACCTTCGCTACACCCAGAATGCTTACCGTTGTATGTGGGGAGCCGCAACGTCAGCGTCTCGGTTGCATTATCAAGAAACAGTCCATCTACCAGGTACTGAAGCCGGTCCGAAGCACCCCCTTGGTCGAGATCGACATCAATGACGATCGGGAATCCCGATGAGAGTCCCTGTGGTAAACACGAAGGAATGAACTCAGGACTTCCGTGTTCCACCTGACTGGGGTTGGAAACAGATACTCAAAACCCGCCGCGGGCACGTCTGACAGCCATCCAGAATATCGTCGCCACACGTTTAACCAACGCAAACTAAATCCTTGGTCTGCATTCAGCTTCAAATTCGGCAAATAAGGAGGTGCAGCAAGGGACTTGTTCCCAGGGACTTGACGACTTTCAGACAAACAGAAATTCTCTTCAAAGCATCAGACTTTGCAGCAGTTTTGGAAACCATTGCATGTTGAAGTCGAATCCTGACAGGCGACTTTTGGACAAAATTTGCAGTTCAATGTCGAAAGCGAAAGCGAATTGTCGCGCATCTAGAACCTGAATGGAGTCGACAAGAAACTTTAGTAAGGCGTTCAGCCTCTCGTAATTCTCTCTGAAGTTCGTTTTCGCTCACCAGCCAGGCTGCACCCTTGTTTGAATAGCTCCTCAGCTAAATCCTCGAAATAAAGCGACTGCGTGACAAAGGCGTGTATAGTGCAACTGCGCTCTCACCGCCACTTCGGCGGGGAAGAAACCCCGCGGTGTGCCCCGAAGGTTTTGCTCGTCAGGGGCGTAGAACTGGCTGACTCTTGGTTGGACATCGATGTTGTACAGAGGGGAGGCGGGGACAAAGACCGGGTCGACTCCATACGGTTCAGTGGAGGTCCCGCTTCCGCATGATTGGAAAAGGTTGAGGAACCTGCGGAGGGACGACAAATCCAAGCAAACATCGGGCGACAACTCAAAAAAGGTCTAGGTCTCAATGAACAGTCGGATTTTGGTTTGCAGTGGAAAGCTGTTGTCGGTTTATTTGCCAGCTTCGCAATCGCAGCTCAGCGCAAGAGGTCCGTGCTCAGCACGGATGAAGTTTCCATTCGCGCGGCCTTCTAGAGCAACAGTTTTTGCACATGAATCTGGACTTGAAGTGATCAGAGATGGTCCGCAGCAGGAAGGTAACCTTCCACCGGCAAGTCACTGCGCATTCTAGACAATCACGACCATGTAAGAGACGATATCTGACGATCACCTTTAAAAACGTTGCTTACCGTTTGCTCGTGCAAGGAGAACCTCGGTAGCGCGTCTGGTGAATGAGAAGGCCTCCGAGAACGCTGCGGAAAGCAATTGAAACACATGAGTAGTGACCAAATTTCTTCGCTTCGGAAGACATCCTTAAAAAACGAGCTCCTCCTGTGAAGCACCGAGTTACTTGGACACAGATGTTTGGGTGCCGGCTTCGCGAAATTTGCAATAACGGTTGTTATGAGGATAGAAACAAAGTCAAACCTTTGTCGATCTTTTCGTCGAAAGTGGCTTCGAGTCCTTGCCGGTGTCCTTCTTACGAAGAAACCACTCTATACAAAGCCGACGCCTTGATCAGTACTTCCTCAAGCGGCACAAACACCGCGCGGAAGAGGGGACCCTACCGGTTGTGATTTGTAGCAAAGCGCTCTCTGTCGTAGTTTGCAATGGCCCCAACACCCTCCGAGCTGCTCTGGATGATGACGTTGAATGGGTACTTCTTGTTCACACCGATGAACTCCGCCTGACAGCACGCTGCATAAAAGGAGCACCAACTTCACATAGCGCTCGGGTTCACGGAGACAAGGGATGATTGTGTATATACACAAGATCTGATCAAAGTGTTTAAAGTCCACAGAGAACCATATACGCTTGGGCATTTGGGTGGATCGGCCAGCCGCGTTCTGCGAGAAGAATCCACTATCTTGCCTTGGAGCAGGACGCACTGAGAAGACCTAAGACCCCGTGGCCTGCCTCAGTCCATACTGTGTACCAATTCCATCCCTTACAGGCTGTCTGAACAATTGAAAACGAAGCCGATTTGGCGGAGATGGTGAGCGGCTCCATTCTGCGGCCCTGAGTTTCGCATCGATCGATTAGAAAAAAACGGGATGCTACTGCAGCAGGGGCAAACTTTGCAGCAAAATATCTGTAAGATAAAGGGTTTGATAAGCATGTCTAGTGCTTACCTGCGTTTGGTCCCTTTGTCTGGCCGGCAGGACACTGGCAGAACGCGTCCGAGTTGATGGACACCGTGTTTGCCGACGAGATAATGTTGGCAGGATCGGGACAGGAGCAATCTGCGGCGTTGAAAATGAGAAGCTCAGCATGCAGCTTTTTGAGGCTGATGTGTATTTGTCGGTGAATCTGGGCCGCCATGAATCCGAGTCTCTTCTCAGACCGAGAAATTTTTACCATACCGCACAGACGGGATCCGTAATTAATATCAGGGTACGACGAGCAGCTGACTGCCTGGAAGTTCAGATATCCCGCACTGACCGTAAGTCGAAATACCCACCAGCCACTTTGACCCCAGAGCCAGGAAAAAGAAGCTCGCAGTTCCTTACCAAAGGGCTTGCACATCGATGCCGCTTCTATAATCAGATCGGTTGAAAGGCTCTGCCGACAGAGTACCGGCAGCCTAGGAAGCCGTCTTACATGGATTCTATCTACTACCGTCTGTCTGACGAAGATTAATCTATGAGCAAACATCAAAATCAAGCAAAAGCAGACCTTGGAAGGCCATTCTAGCCTCCTGAAAGGCGGCACTTGAATTCAGGTCAGATCAAAAGTACGGTCGCGCCATTCGAACTTTCTGGACTGAAGCAGCTCTAGAATGTATAAGCTCACCCCCTCCGTCGAAACTGCACTCGGATGTCAGGCAGTTGAAGCTCGCGTCGCACCGCCCGTTGTTCAACAAGCGGATGGGGCACCCGGGGGAGCACTCCAAATCCTCTTGAGGTAAAGTGGCACCTGGGGACGCGATATTCTCACAACTTGAGTACTTTCCCATCTGACGAGCGAAGAAGCGGCTTCTTGACTCGAGCGGATGAATCTCTTCGAAAAGCTTGAACTTGAGGTCTGCCAGCTTGCCCAGCAGGTTCTCAAAGCGGTGGCGTGAGCGCCAGTGTGGCTTTGGCAACGGATTAGGTGTCAGAATCGACTGTTGGTCGCCACAAGTCCAACACCAAACGCATTTGCGGGGCAACCCGCATCGTCAGATTCCGGTGAAAACATCGCGTGTGCACGGATCTATCCGGTTACGCCCACCTACCGGCTCTGAAAAGGAAGGACGCGATTGCACAGAGTCATGTGGCAAACCGCCCGTCAAACCCTGCTCCTTACAACACGGTTTGTGTATCACCGGTAGCTAACCTAGCCCGAGCAAAGTCTCTCTTATCTTTGGCAAGAGAGGGCACCACGTATGTAGGAAGGCAACGGTCGGACTTGGCATCTGCCTTGAGCGTTAGTCACATATCCCCGACCAGAGTACCATGTACAGCTGGAATAACACCCAAGCCTGCCCTTTGTTTCTCAGCGGGCTTGACTCAAAGCACAACGTGACAGTGACACCCTCAAATGAATGACAACAAGGGGTGTAAGAATCCACAACAAAATAGGATCATTACGTTACCGCGCTGGTCAGATTCGGAAGATACGAACGCATTTCTTACTTGACGGAGCTGTTCCACTGCCGCGAGAGACGTAGACGGTGCCCGTCATCAGGTTGCCGTACTTGGCGTCTCTGTACGCGTAGATGCCCGGGTTACGGAACAGCGTAGTCGACGTGAACGTACCGCCAGCATCCGAATTGCCCCCTCTCGCTGCACATAGACGAAAATCAAAGCTGAAGTCGGACGTGGATAAGCATTCGAGCAATGCCACGACGCTTTGTCAACATATGTTCGATGGTTTGTATCTTCGTTCAAAGCCCGCGGTTTGCGCGGGCAAGAAACCGAACAATTGGAACGCGATAAAGAAGCAGAAACGGGTTGAAAGCGGAACGAAATGGCGAGCAGTTAAAAGAGGACGTCGATTGAAGGAACGAGGTGACTTGAAAACTGCGGAAATTAGCTTCAGTCAAAACACGAAGTTGACGTGAGGACGGAAAGGCGGGGTGATGTCAGCGGAAAGGCACAAAGAAGTCAGCAACAGCCTTACGACAGCTTTGGCTAAAGAGCCGACATCTTCAATTAGTAAAGACATAAGATATCGAAGTTGCTTTCTTTGATTTGGATGTTCCTTTGGCTGGCCTCACCAACCCTACCCGAATCCTGATCTTTCGTCAAAATTCGGGAAGCCTTGTTCATGCACAATTCCCGGCTTGAAAGGAGCCGAAGGTAAGCGTATCTGTCCAAAATATGCTCAAAGGCAGTGAAACTCCTTGGATATTGAGTCGAAAGCACATGCAGAAACCGGACTGCAGAAATCGGACTTGGCCAGGCCAGCTTTCTACTTACTTCGGCCCAGGACGCATGGAGTCGGGTCTCCGGTAAAGGAGCCGTTTTCGAGATCCCCAATGTTTTGTGGGGTGCAGACAGTCCCCCTTGCTACGAACCGGCGGTTGGCTCCCACCCCACGGAAGACGTCTTGCAGGTCATCCAACCCTTCACCTGTGGGGAAACGGAAGAAAGGACAAGTTTCAAGTAGGTTTGGCCAGGATTTCAAGCAGGTAAAGGTAAGGAACGAAAACAAGACCAGAAACTTTTGAAACTTGGCTCGACTTTAGCACGAAGAAACATGACCCGCGTTCCCGTCTAAATTTACCTTTCGGAAATTTGGATGAGCTCAATCGCAGATTCAAAACCGAATATTCGTCAAAGGGCAACTCCCAAAGTAGTTCGAGTCGATGGCAACGCAATCTACCTGAAAGCAGCATCTTCAAACGGATCGAGCCGCGCAACCGCGTTCGATACTTGAATGGACCAACGGGCAGCACGAAGTTGTCTACTTGGCTAGGGTCAATCAGCTAGAATCCAATTACATTCACGGACTGAACGTCGAGCTAATGCCGTATTCTACCGTAAGGCAAGGCGTGCATATAGTTCTCAGAAGACCATAAAAGAGAAGATACTGTTCTCTTGAGTTGGACTTCTCACCTCTCAGCGCGTGGGGCAAGTCGTCGGCCCAGATGAACTGGATGGAGTCTCCCACAGACACGTTCGTCGAGTAGTGCACGTTCAGCTTCCACTCCAAAGCGACGTTGGCTGCATTGAAAAGATAGAGTTGTCACATCAGCCTTTGGTTTGAATTGTTCTTCCGCGTCTAGTCTCTGGTTAAAGAACAGGCATTTAAAGACCGTTTGCAGCTCAAAAGCATATAGATTGTGTGCATTCACGTGACCGGCCTATCCAATTGGTAGAATCTATGGGTTGGAGGTGCGTAATCGGCCTGTTCCAACGGCGCACTCGATCAAGCCGGGTGACGAAGTCAGTTCCGAGTCGACTGCCTAAACATCCAGTGCGCGTAACACAAACAAAACTATTGACTTGGACGAGTCGAAGCTGATATGCACTGCCAAAGGCTGGTAAGAATAGCAAGAGGAGGCCAAAGCAAGATGACGTCAAACTGCCGAACTTTACTGCCCCCTAAAGTCATCGAAGGTCGTAACAGCAGGTTTTGTCGCATGAATGCCGAAGGGGTCTATACGTGAAATCTTCTCGGCCCATTGGTCGTCGGAACCCTTCTTTATTTTCAAACTTAAAGTGGGCTTTACCAGAAAGCCAGAATACTGTAAGTAAAGCTCGAATCCTTAACGCTTTAAGCCCAGGTCTCCGGCACTTTAGCCGTCCAAGAGTTAGGCTTTCTGCCTTCACCTGATAAGCAGATCTGCTTGAGCTGATTCCGAACAAAGACCTCTTCTCCCGGCTTACACATGTCGCCAAAAAAAACGTGAGTTTCAGAGTCAGCCAAAAAACATCAGCGACCGCAAGCCGCCGCTGAAGGTGATCCATAAATGCCAAACCGGCTTTTGAGAGGGTCAATGTAACAAAGGGCAGTGAACCTCACGGCGGTTGCAGTTGTTGCCCGGATCGACGACCACTGCCGTGTCTGTCGCGTGCAAGAGGTCTTCGGTGGCCAGGTAATTGCTCTCGCTGAGGCCGGTAGCAATCACCGAGTCCAACGCATTCAGCAGGATTGCGATGAAGGTGTCCTGCTCCTGTGCACTGATGCTGTAGTTCCCGGTGTTGCCGGGCCCGTAGCGACGCGCAAGGAAAGCCTGCAATGAAAGGGGGGAGCCTCAGTAAGGATACGTTCCGTCGGAAGCCGTCAAGTCCTGAACGTTTTCCGGCTGGAGATGAATTATCTGGCCGGAACTAAAATTTCATGCCGCTTGGGATCTCACGTTTAGGTCCGTACCTCAGGTTTGATAGGCCCTCGGAGCTAGACTTAAAAGCATGCGGCTTGCGCCTCTGGCTGCGTTGCAAAAAAATCGAACATTGAACGCCCGGCCCGGTGGTGACTCGTACTCGAATCCGTTTTCCAACAAGGATTGGACCAATGGGAGCGGGACGTTTGTTTTCCCTTCAACGAGGGACCGAACTAGAGCGAAAACACTTGAGAGAATTTCAAGCATACCCACTTCAAACTGGAACCCATCCAAATCTCTTCCGGAAACCAGTTCCTTGGCGCGGTACTCGGAAAAGCCATTGTTGTGATTATGATATCACGACGCCGCAGCGCCGGGCGTCGAAGACCTGGCTAGAAGAGGAGGTCTCAGTAATTCCTGCGTGTATTCAGATTGGAACGTATGGCAAGCTCATTTACAAAATCACCTGCTTGCCGAGAGCGCCACGGGGCTTCAAGGACTATCGCTAATGTGTCCGGTGTGCAGTTTGCCAACATTGCAGCGCAAGCGCACGCCGCCTAACAAGCCGGAAGAATTCTGGAACCCGTGTCGATACTAGAACATCTGCTGAAGTCCGAGAAAACAGATCAATCCGCGTGCGCACCTGCAGCGCCGCAGGGTTGCTAGAGTCGAGCGTCGTGTTGGTCGTAGGGTCCAGAATACCGCAGCCCGGGAACGTTGCAGGCCCGCCAAAGTACGCGCAGAAGAAGCCCAGCATACGTGGCCCCTGCCGGCTCGACGAGATGGTGTACTTGGTGATGCACGAGTCCGCTGTCCACGTGTCGATCGACCGCGCAATCGCCGTTGCCAGGTTTGAGTAACGCTGCTGGTCGGTCGTCCCAAACTGGTTCCAGTAAAGCGTGGTGGCGTTTCCGTTCGCTGGGAGGTAGGGATTGTCCGCTAGCTGCGAGCATGCCAAAGGCGTTGGTTCAGGTTGCGCGTTTCAGGATCAGCGTCCGAACGTGTGCAATGTCTGAGGTTGATCGCGGCCCAGATGGATGCTCGAATGTGAACAGACTCTAAAACGAGGTCGCAAACCTTTGCAAAATGCCGAAGCTTCAGGGAGATGTCGATGATGCTCTTCTTTGAACCGTTCTTGCTTGACCTGCATCTTGAACGTAGCACAAGCTCGCAAAGCTGCCAGGAAGCTGATGCCAGCAGTGAGCAATACCTGCCAGTAGAAGCTACTGACTACTCAGAAGATAGGGTTTAAAGACTGCAAAATACATTGCTAGAGCTAAAGCGCGGTCAGCTTCTTTACCTTGTGGGGCTGTGTGATACATGCGACATCAGATCCACGTGCAACTTCTCGTTCAGAATATAAGGTGCAAATACCATCTCTTTCATACGCCAACGGAAGAATTCTGTCAGTCTCCTGGCGTGTCCTGGAGACTCAAAATCTGTTTTGATGCCTCTTTCAACATAGAGAAGCCACATTCAGGAAAGGCACTGAGAACGACGAACTAACCTGAGACAGGCGTCTACGACCGGGTGGTACTGCGGTAACGGTGAGTCCGCTCGTGTTGAGCTGACCTCCCGTCGGAGCCGGGGTTCCACGTGCGAGCGACGCGGCTTGGCTGGGGTTCGCAGCAAGGTACGCCGGATTGACTGCGACATGATCAACAGCTTAAAGTCAGCCAGCATCGGATCCGTCAGACAAGACCAGGAAAACTATGCATAGCGCCTTCTCTTGCGGCTGAACTGAGAAAGGGATGAAGCCAGAGAATGTGGATGGGAGACAAAAGTCGCTTCTCGATTGTCCCTTTGAGGAGGGAGTATTTCAAGCGAACGGCTGACGAAGGTGGGCTGGCGGCGACGCTTGAGGGCCCTTGAACGCGTAGCTCTCTCGTCAACAAGCTCGCTTCCATAACCCCAAAGAAGTCTCAGTATGCTACACAGAAGATCAAAGCCAATCGAGCACCGCAAGAGTCTGCTACTCAAGAAAGTTGTTTTTGTCGGTCCCATGACCAGACCTCTACCCCTGATGCGGAGTCAAATACTTCTTCGACGGCACCTATGAAATGTTGATCTTTCTGTGACGCGGCCAGTAAATTTCAGATTTGAGTGGAACAGTTTTGGTCCTCTCGAAACAAACACTAATCCTTTTTCTATATTAATCCGCAGTGGACATTGTCGATAATTGGCACTTCGCAATCAGCAAATGACAACAGGACAACATCCTCGATTCTAGCTGGTTCTATCTGCATAGTGCTGCAACACGACCATTGATACGCAGTCTACGTGGCTTTCTTTGAGACTTCTCATGCTTGTAGTGGGAAAGTAACAAGGCAGCTCCCAAGTCGCAGAACGATCTTGATCCAAACTTGTCGAAGGAAAAGGTGCCAGATTGATATGTGGCCAGAATGGTGTCTTACGGATGCACTTGCGGCCGGTGGTCGCCAAGAAGGATACGGTATCGTCTGACGAGTTGGCCAGCTGCCCCACCTGTACAAAAATTGTTCGTTTCAGGCCGTCTTTCTCAAAAGGTTTCCAAAAATGTGTCTCTCGTTCAAGGAGAGCAATCCAGGGAGTTTCTAAGGGCACAGTTTCGGAAAAGTCCGGCGGGCAGTGTTTCCAAGGGTTCTGAGGATTTTTTACCAACGCTACTGTGCCATCTCGCGACCATTGCCCTGCTGTGCCTTTGGCGATCCTGAGTTCCAAAACGCTAACTTTTGATTAAAACGGGGACGTCCCCTCGAGGCTGCTTTCTAGGTGCATATCGGGCATGACCGCATGAAAGCCTGAAAGCTGCACTTGATTGGCTGCGGCTCTGCTTAGAAAGTTTCTTAGATTTCAGAACCAGAGCATGCCAGTGACGTCCTTTGCGGCCGCACCTTTAATGACAGATAGCTTAAGAACGGCCAAGGCTGTGACTCGCAGGATCGGGAGCAGAGGAGCTCAGAGAAAAAGATAAAGCGGATGCCACGGTGGCAAGGAAAAAAGAAAAAAGCAGGAGACGAAAGAGAGTCTGTAGGGGGAATGGACCGGGAACGGAGAATAGAGAGCAAGAAAAAATTCGGAGTAACATCGAGGGCCACCGACCTGGACGCAATTGAGGTTCGTGTACGGCTGCATTGAGGTGAAGTTGGAGTTGCACAGCGTGAAGCAGTCGACGAGGACGTCCGTCAGGCGTTCTGCCGGGATGCTGCTGCACGCGTCGACGATGCACTTGGCGTTCACCGCGCATTGCTGCAAAAAGGGGGACAGGATGACGTTAAAACGGCGTCAGCGAGTTGCTAAGATGCTGCAATGGCGTCAGCGAGCCTTGGCTTGCGCATGAAAGGTGCGCTTCGATTCACGGTGCATTGCTGCAAGAAGCGGACGGAATGACGTCAAACGGGCATCAGCAAGCAGGGTTCCGGTTGTCGCACGCAATGTGGTACCGTTTGGATTCGTGCTTTATATTCAACTCATCGAGAACGGGAAAGGGCTTTCAGAATCTTTGGGACGCTTCCCCTGTTCCTACACGGATTAAAGACGGACCAAGAAGGGAAACGTTGTTCGAACTGCGAGACTATTCAGCACCTCCATCCTCTTCTCTTTGATTTGCGTCCAAAAGTTGACAAAGAGGAAGAAGGCGAATGTATGCGCGGCTCACCCTGCGGCACAGCGTAAGCGCCGATTGGTCTTCCGGCACGCAGGAGCCGAAGCGCGTCAAAGTCTCCTGGACATACTTCTCGGTGGATGCCCCTGAGACGCTGATGGTTGCTGCGCCGGACACTCCGCCGTTGGGAGCGGTGATTCGGAGCTCCCAGGTCCCGTTAGGCAGAGCCAGCGTCGTCTCGAAGAAGCCGGTCTGGGCCTGAAAGGGCTGATTCGTCTCAAACCTGCGCAGGGGCAGCAAAGGGTTAGGTTTGATACCTGCGATCGTTTGAGTCAATGTCCAACGACGTTTTGGAGTACCTAGATGAAAGTTACCTCCCTGGCAGACCAGTAAAGGGGAATCACTTATGAGAGGAAAAGTATGCAGCACAGGTTGCAATAAGAGCGCATCGAAAGCTTTCGGTTGGCAGTTGCAATCACCTAAGCACTGGAAACTTGGTGTCGGTAACAAGGAGATTGTCAGTCGTGCACTATACCGCTACTGCACCCGAAGGACGGCACCTTAGTTAGTCGGGATCCGCAACTCCGCAACTTTGTAGGTGTAAAAGACAGCTTGTAACGATTCGGCATGCGAGCAGAATGGGAGAGATGGATATGCATTCATGCCCTCTTCTGCCAGGAAGTGCAAAACTCTGATTCCGTCATCCTTATCTCCATCTGTTTTCAGCAGCTAGCCTAGTTTTGCTGAATGCTCAGATTGTGGGACCTTACAGTTCAGAACTGAGAGACGCTAGCTTGTAGTGAGGCTGAAACACTCTGTCACCAAGCGGAAGGAATCAAAATCCGACTTTCTGAGCAGCTACCAGATCCACCTCCATAACTGGATACATTGACCAGATTCTACAAATCTTGACCTCCACAGACACTGCTACATTTCTGGACCCTGACACCAGCAAAGCAATGAGACCTGTCTGGAGCTATGCCTGGGATCCAAAAGCTTGAATCCTTGAAACCCTTAAAACCTTTCAATCTTGCGAAGAGGCCCCAAAAGTCGACGAAAGAAATTCCGCAATTCATCCAGAACGTCCTCTTACCAGCAGAGGCGATCAGGCTCGATCTCGCAAACGTTCCAGTCGGAAATCGCCAGATCATCAGGGGATCCAAACGTCGTCGTGAACTGGAATGACACGTCTTCTGTGTCCATATCGCCGCAGTCAATAGAGCAGCCGAAGCGGCCAAAGCCGCTGAACTCCACGGGCCGGTCACAGACGCCGTCCCCGCATATAGGGTCGGCCCAAACGGTCTGGATGAAGGTGTTGTTGATGTAATCATAGACGTCGTTCGCGTTTCCGAACGTGGTCACTCTGTCGCCCCCATCCTACATGGAAAAATGAGCGCCTCGTTTTGCAATCTGAGAATAAGTGTGCAGGGTTTCCTTTCTTTCGTGGTCTCTCATTGTTTGGGCCTGTGTAAGCCGACTCGCGCAGCCGTCCGCATCTGTCTGAGAACAGGAGTCTGTCCGTAAAGTGCTTCTGAACATGAGATTCTTCATCGCCGCTTTGTCTTTACACGCCAAATCTGCTTGCACCATGTTCGAGCTGCAGGAGATCAGACTCAGACGGATCAAACCCTAAGACGTTGACGTTGAGAAGGTGGTCACACTGCTGCGTGCACCCTGCAGGAGGAGTGTCTAGTGACAGGGGCACTTCTTCTGCTTTCAGGGCGAGCACCGAAATCTCGTGCTAGCTGACTGACTCTGTTCGCCTCTCCTGAAAGAACACAATTTCGTCTCATTGATTGTCAGGAAGATGCCTGTTGAAGTACAGTGCACGATCCACACCTGGGCAAAGAAGGATCTTGTCGGGTGTTCCTTACTCGTCTATTCTGACATGCACTGCGTTCAAAAGCTAGACGGAATCGATCTGTTCAAGGGGTTCTTGGATAGTGGGTTCTTGACGAACCTGGTCAAGGTGCTTCCCGCAAAAGGACAATGGATAACAGCGCAAGGGCTTAGATGATGGGACAGAGGGGATCACTCAAGCAGAAGACATGGCCCCGCTCAAGAAGCCAGGTCAAGAACCCGATGCTTTGGAATGCCAAGTCCGGATGTCAGCTTGAGAGAATTTCCAGCCGATGAAAACATAAACGGTGGTCAAGACAGCACATTCGCATTTTGACTGAGAGGATAGGGGTTAGCATGAGAAGGGTTTTGGAGGGGGGCGGAGAGGAAACTCAAAAGGAGGAGCCAGGTTGAGGAAAGAACATGAGAAAAGCCACCTAAGACAAATAGCCAAGGCCAGCCATGCAAACAGTTGAGCTGAGTTTACAGGCTCGACCATTGGCTCAAGGTGACCCGATCGAGATCTCAGAAGTTCGTCAATTAGACGTTCGGATTGCACACAGAAGTCAGGTGAGCAGTATTTTTTCCACTTACAACAAACAGCTTGAGGTGACCTACAGATGCAGGTGAACGTCTTTCAAAGACAGCTTCAAAAGTCGTCCAAGGTGAATGAGATTGATTACAACACGGGGAGTGAAAGAAACAATGAAGCGCTTGAGCTGTTTTCACAAGATTGACCAATGTCGAAGAGGATATCCAAGAATATGCTAAGCAGACCACGAAACTCGGGGTGGTGAGCAACAGAGAAGGTCACAGAAACAGGACAAAAAGCTGTGGGAGGATTCGTGGTACAGCTCAAGCAGAACTGAAAAGAAAAGAGGAATTAGCTGGAAACCTGAATTGCAAGAAGGTCAAGGACAAGGATGAGTTTTGACAGGAACAGGTCAAGAAGATGGGGGGTAAGGGAGACCTACACCAGGCAGCAGGGCCTGCTGGGAGGTGACCAGCTTGTACAGCTCCGCCACGTTGAATTGGAGGTACAGCACGGTGCAATAGAGCGCCGTGAAGATAAGGAATGCAAACAGGTTGCAGTAGTCTGTCTTGCGCGACTTGGTCTCTTTGACCGTCTCGTACAGCCGCCGCACCACCGTCCTGTCGTGCCTGGAAAAACAAACTACAGTTTGAGAAGTCGTTAATGATCTGACTGAACTCTTCACGGTGGACTGCCAGGGAAGTTCAGCACTCGTCCATGTTAGTCGATAATCCCGTTTGGTTCCCTATGACACCCCTGACCTCAATTTGTTGTTTAACGTGCAGCTTAAGGTCTCTTCGTTTGCATTACTCCCTGAAGTGATTATGAGCATCTTCACCTCAACTTCAAAATTACAGATTAAACACGATTATTCCTTTGACAATTTGGTACTTGTCAGCACTGAGCTGTCAAAATTGCAGGTGCGCACTTTCAAGACCTCCTTTATGACAGAACTCTGCCTGTTACACCGCCTGCCATGACTGCCTTGATGCATCCACTTCTAACTTACCATGTCCTGCTCTCCAGCAAAGTGACTGGAGCTACAATATCTCTAAACTTCGAAGGATACCTACAACCATGGTTAACTGTTTGCTATACACACTCAAGATGTGGCCTATCTCAAGATACTCTCCGAAGCCTTTGATGCTACAAACCCTTTCGAAAGCCAATCCAAAGCCTTCTACTAATAGCAGTCTAGTTCTGCATAGTCCTCTCTCCTGAACATGTCAGAAAAGCTACAAGGATCCCCCTGACTATCTGCCTTTAGCCCTGCGGAAACAGTGTTCCCTGTGCCACATCATATACCACTTGAGAACACAATTGCTCAGCTGCCAATGCAAAAGGGCAATAAAACAGTGACCACCATTTTTGCAAAAAATCACTTTCGAAGGATGTAACTTTGTTGATCGTTAAGCGTCTTACAGGTAGCGGAATAGGCACAGCCGACGTGTGTCAAGACCAAAGTGTCAAAACCAAAGGTGTGTCATCACCAAAGTCAATGCTAAGAACTTCAGCGTTTTCGTCCGGACCGCCATTCACCAAAAAAACCAGAATATCAGGACGACGGGGAGGTCTGCTGGCGATGTGGGGGCTCATCTAGAAATCTCGAGCTCATCCAAGCATCTGTCGCTGAAGTTTGGTTGGAAATGAAGTCTCTAAATGCCACCACTGCCCAGCTAGCTTTCCATGCTCGCCCCTCCCCTTCCCGCAAATTCAGACCAATCAACGAACAGGCAGAAGAAAGGAAAACCTCAGGAGCAACCTTTGCTAGTTTGTTACACAAACAAAAAGGCGAAAGGACCTCAACAGACACTCAGGGCCTTTGCCAAAAACCTCGCAGTCCAAAGTATGTACTTGGCGCACGACATTGACAGAAGGAAAATGGAGAAAGAGGAGAAGTAGGAAACGGCAAGGAAACTGGTACTGCACAGATACAAAAGACTAGACAACCAACGTTGGGAAACTAGGAAAAGGAAGTAGGAGCATCTTACTCGTTCACAACGCTCATGCCGTCCTCCAACCCCACTTTGCCATACGTGGCCCCATCCGGCGCATCAGCGAAACGTGCCTTCTGTTTGCGCTCTTTCGCCTTTGCTTGAGAGGGCTGGAAAGCGGGGTTGTTGAACGCTACCTTCTGGGGCTTCTTGCCAAGCTCTTCCGCCTCCTTTGCCTTGCGACGCTTGTTGAGGATGATCTGAACTGCCATACTTAGGTCTGCCGAATATGGAGCTTATGTTGTAATTGGACTCAGGGAGAAGACAAAGTGCATCTCGTTCCAGAGAGCTTCAGTCGCTGCAGAGGATATCTGAGGTCCTCTACCCTTTGCTATGCTTCGCTGTTGCTTACTTCAGCAAGGATTTTAGCCGTCTAAGTTTTATGTCAACTTTCCGCCACTGGTGCGGGAAAGCAAACGACGAACACGCGTGGCCGCTCAATTTGCCATTCTGATGGACAACGTCCCGAAAGGTTCCCAGCGTCAAGAAGGATGCTCACCCCGATGCTCCCTCAGAAAGAAAAGCGCAATAGTATAAACTACCCAGTCACAATGTTTCCATGGTGACTGAGTGCTGGTCAAAATTTGCTCTGGGACAGACAATGACGTCGTCACCGCGAAAATGGCAGCGCAGATTCGATCTTCTGCAATTACAAAGTACAATTACAAAGACTCAAAGTACAATCTAGATGGCGAATCAAAGAATCACGACCCCCAGACAAGGTCAGAATGGGGCATATGGCGTGGGCGCCAGCAGTGTTTGCGCATGCTAGGTCTACCTACCGTATTGTCGTACCATATCTGTAAACCTGTTTTTGAGGAGAGCTGAGGAGGCTCCAGATTTGGTACGGTAGGCACAAGGGATGGACACTGGAGTATGTACTACCGTAGTCCAACGTGATGATTCCGAATAAATAAATAATTATCTGCCTTCGGAAAGTCAGAAATCCGGATTTCCCATTCGGAAAGTGAAATTTCGGAAAGGTAAAATAACCCTGAAATGGTCCTCGGAAGCCGTCAAACCGCCAAAAGC